ACACTTAAGGAGGAAAAGGAGGGGAAACAGAAAGAATGAGGAGGAGACGAGAGAAGAAAAAGCTCTGAATGATCGATCCTCAGGATAGTACTCTTAGTTCTTATTGGCTACTTTGGAGATAGTTGGAGGGACAAAACCTAGTTGATCGACAAGACCAACAAGGACTGCACATTTGCCCACTAACATTTTCAAACTTATCATTAGTTTGTTTTCTTTGTTCATCTCGCCTTAAAAAAAACCCGTTTTGTTTCGTTTCTTTTCTTTAATATGTTCTTTGTTTGTTTGTTTGTTTTTTTACCGATCCAGTTCTTTTTGTAAGTTACCGCGGCCGCTGAATTATTTGGTTTGTAGTACTCGTGTTTTTGTTTTCGGTCGAAAAAAAATACTTGAAACACATCCCAGGATCCAGCCAAGTCCGAGCACTAGAATCCAAAAACGCCTTCAAATATTGAGGGACTTGTTTTGTATTCTGGGGCGTGTTTTCGGATACCGTAAAATTCCGAAAATAAGCCCCGGGGCTTATATTTTTCAAAGACTCTTTTTGAGGGGCTTATATTCAGATATTCGGAGGGGCTTATCTACGGAGGGAAATGTTCGTTTCAAAGTCGATTGGGCTAGCCCTATAGATGGAAGTAAATTTACCGTTTTGGCTTTGTTTTACTTTGTATTTGAGGGCAATTTTCCAAGTACAAGCCCCCGGGGGGCTTATCATTGGAGGGGCGATTTAACGGAGGGTTTTTTGCATTACCGGTTTGGGGGGCTTATATTTGGAGGGGCTTATAAATGGAGGGGCTTATTTTCGGAATTTTACGGTATGGTGAGAAGTGTTCACCGTATTCGGGCTGGAGTCACGCAATACGGGGAGAATTGCGTGACTCTGAACTAGCGTTTTCGTGGGAGACTGGACACTAACAAACAGGCCACCAAACATTTTAATATCCCCCTATTATCACACCATTTTGATCGTGATTAGACACACGCGTATTATTTCTCCTCGAGTGCGCTGCAAACGATTGAATTTGAAGGCTAGGTAAGTACAAATTGAATATTTCTTTCGGTTCTTTTGAACTACAAAACATACGAGGAAGCTATGCTGTTACGTGGATGAGAACTGGTGACAAATCCGGTGAGAAATATTCGGCCACACAGTTTGTACCGAGCAGAGGTTTTTATAAAATTTTTGCGTTGCATGAACTGCTGTGCAAAAGGTAGCACGCCAAAAGGTAGCTAAAGGGAAGCCTCTGCTCGCAGGGTACGCAGTTTGTCGCAATCAAACTTATAAAATGTCTTTTTCTCCTGTTGAGACGCGTGCACGAGAATGGTCTATTGATTAATTTGCATGTGACGTCACGGCGGCCATGTTGGTGGTCATGAACACAAGCATTTCTCTCCTCTGGGAACTAAACTCTGTTTTCATGTAAATTCTTCAAGAAAAAATTCTACTGTACCAACCCCCAGCATGGTATAAAATGCAACAGCTTAATTTACATTGTATACTCAAAGCCTCAAAACCCCGTCAAAATGTTTTGAATGGCCATGATGAACTTTACCTTATGAGGTTTGTGATCCAAAAGTGCCAGTTTTTAAAAAAAATAAAAGATAAAATAAAAGATTCTTTTGAGGCAATGAAATGCCACATGGTTATCATGTTTACTTCGCCATGAGGGACATGTTCTTTTGAGCTGTCTGTAAAGCAACCAGCCAGGCAGTGTTGGAAAGTTGCTTCCCGAACAGTATGAACTGAACAGAAATTGTTTATCTTTTGGTTACTTCAGTTCAAGTCTTGTTTTTCATCCTGAATGCCATTCTGCTATATGAACTGTGTGCAATCAAACTGAAAGGTGGATTTTTTACATCTGTAGTCTTCAGTTCAACTTACGCGGTACTTACAAAGTCTCACAAAGTTTGTTCATAAAGCTTGTGTTTTCAGAAAAAAGGATCAGAAAAACACTCAGCACATGTCAAAGAAAGCTACTGCAATTCGTGTCTTTATTTTGAACCAAGTAGACTATAAAATCAGTAATTATTGTTCTCCTACTTCTTTTTAACTTGAAAACTATGTATGAATATTAAAAGCTTATCTGAATCGCAGTTTTGATACCGCACAATTTCTAGCAAGTCATCTCCGCTTTCGAAATCTAGGTGTTTTTGTTCAGTTTCGCCTGCTTGAGCTTTTTGTAGAGACTCCAAACAGGATGCAAGTCTTACATCAGAGAGCATTCTGGCTATTTTTCTAGGCAGACAGAAGGTGAATCTTCAATGAAACTAAACTAAAGAAAAGCATCAAAGTTTGGCATTCATTCGGCAAATGCCGGGTCTTGCATGAGTTAAAATTTTATGTGTCTATCCTCTCATGGAACATAAAAATTAGGCAATCAGTGTGCAAGAAATAACCCAGTTATTGTAAAAATAGATATTTAGCAATAATTTCCCTACAGGTGAAGCAAATGGTAAATCCAATACATTTACTATAAAATTACAGTCAATTGCACTCAGATTGTGTGGGCTCCCTGTGGGGGGTCTTGATTGTGTTTCCAAAGTAGCTGATTAGGGGAGTTTTTCCATTGCAAACTTCTGAGAAATGGTTTTGAAACAGCTTAGAACACAGACGCATCGTGTTCTTGGATTCCTGTTTAGATCTTATAGTTTGCCAGCATGTTACCTTAGCTCAATTTTCACCATTGGGATTATAAATATATATAGCGTCATGATAGAAAAATGGTAGACAATCTGACTACATGTACATTACTTACACAAGCGATATTAATTGGCTTGTAATTGATTCACCCTGAGCAGAGTGCAGAAAATGAGAACCACGTTGCTCACATCCTAAATGTACAATTTGTCTGCCAGCGATGGGAATTAACATAAGGCTGATACTTGTTTTAATCCTTTGAGCCCCAATATCCACATATAAATTCTCCATACTGATCTTCATACATTTCTCTAAAGAATTAGTTGAGAGAGTTTGATAATAGATCAAAGCATTTTCTCTTTACTGATCATTTTATTAACTCTCATAACCATTTCTCTTGGCAACATATGGATATTGTTAGGAGAAAATTGATTTTGGTCACTATTGGGACTTAAAGGGTTAACAAACATGGACCGGAACCTCCCCCAGAGGGAGTAGTGAAAATGGTAGTAAAAAATCTCTCGAGCAGATTCCCAGCTATTTTATGCATTTCAAGGGATAATGAAATCCTATGCATTATCTGTAAAATAATCTAATGATCGAATTCAGCCTTATCCATTGATGTACTTGTAGAAGATACAGTACTGTTGTGAACCTCACTTGCACCAAATAAAATATTGCTAAAAATTATTATTGTCCGAGCACATTTGTTTGCTCTTGAGATTCTATTTTTTTCTAGTACTAATATAAACATTTATTCTACATGATTTCAGAATTGAATTCCTCTTTGAAGTTGAATCTTTTGAGCAAGTGATCACGTGGTGCAATACAAGATCTAGTATCCTTTTGTTCTTTGACTACGTAGACAAGGACATATGTCATTACAGAAACCATTTACTTGCAAACAAGGGTTATTTACCTGGAACAAGGGGTATTTTATATATTCACCTGGTAACAGGTCACTACCAGGTGAATATATCACATACCCGCAAAGACAGGTAAAATGCTTATTTTTCACTTGTGAGGTTTCCTGATGCAAAAAGCTTTTAAAAGAGCTGTGGGAATTGTTTGAGGCTGAGTTCTAAAATATGGAAATTTATGTGGACTAGTTAAAGACTAGTTTTAGCAGAAAAAGACGAGTGACTCAGAGGAAGAGGTATTCTAGAGGTTAAGGCAAAGCAGTTTTACAAGCTCCTTTGGACCATCCACTCTGACAGATTTTTATGTCAGCCATCCAAGATCATCCGACATTGTCACATTACAAACCAAGAAACCAAGATGTTTGCAGTTAGACGTTGGAGATGTTGTGTTAAATTTGCTCGGCCAGTCTCATAAATTTCTCACCTACTTTGTGCTTGAAGAAATGTCGGCAAAGTAAATGATGTCCAAGAAAATGTGGTAGATTCATCAAATCGTAATTCAAAATTCTTACTTTTGTTGTTTTATTGGGAAGGTCTAATACTTTGGGGGAAATATGAGCAGGGGAAATATACAGCTATTTCGAGAAAGTTTGTCGGAAAAAAATGTGCATGCAACCATCCCGAAAGGTAATATGGGATATAATCAATTCACTGTTTCTGACACTGTAGCTGTCGAACCTTCTTTTGTTGCTTTCCTTTAGGCTCGCAAACAAACGTCCATTGCCCCTTGTCCCATTCTTTCAAATTTCTTTGAAGAACAGTGAACTCAAAACCACCCACAATGCCTTATAGGATTGTCGCGTGCACTTTTTCCGACAACCTTTCTGGAAATAGCTGTATATTGCATTGTTTTGTTACTGTTGTAAGCTATAGTTTCAGCCCCACACTCCCCTACTTAACAATGAATCCCGCCACCAATCAGTATTAAATTCCCCTGATAAGAACAAAGGAAACCGAGCAAAGTGAATAATAAGAGAGGATTTTATTTTAGCAAGACTTAAATCAAACCTTTAAAAAATTCTCTAATCTGATTGAGTATCGACAGCCCTGATTCCAGCATCAATTGGACAGTAAACCAAGACTATTTTTCGGTGTTTTTTTTAGGGAAAATTGTGCGTGCGTGAGGCAAAACTCGTGACTGTAACCCTTATAGCACTAAAGGCCTCCGTGTTTTTCTTGGGTTTAGTGCTCGATTACGTTTTGCAGTTCCCCTTGCCTGTTAGGGTATGTTTTAAGACATCTTGAGTTGTTTTATGAGGGTTTTAACGTACTTTGGACACAAGACCTTAACAATGTGTAAAGGCAAAGTAGGAAAAACACCACATTGTCGGTACTTAGAAGGGCTTTCTCGTGGCCGCAGTGAAAGCGAAGAATTACTCGACAACTATATAAACCAAGCCATTAAACACATTTCACACAGAGATTCGGAAGAAGAAGAATTTGACATGGCTTCCTGTCATGGCGATGTTACCAAAGACCCAATCGAGTTCCGTCAGCGAGAACTGATTATCGCAAGAGAAAATGGAGATAGAGATTTAGAAGGAGAGGCATATGTCAATCTTGGTAGTGCTTATCGCCACCTCGGTGATTTCAAGCGGGCAATCGAATTCTATCAGCAGGGCCTTAGTATCGCTAAAGAGATTGAAAACAAGGATTTAGAAGGTTCTTTGTACGAGAACCTTGGCAATGCGTATCGCTGTCTTGGAGACGTAAAACATTCCATCGACTTCTATCAGCAAGGTCTTAGTGTCGCTAAGGAGATCGGTAACAAAGATTTGGAAGGTACTGCATATTGCAGCATTGGCGATACCTATCGCCGTCTTGGAAATAGCAAGAAAGCAATCGAGTTCTATGAACAGGGCCTCGCTATTGCAAAAGAGATTGGAAACAAAGATTCCGAGGCGAGTACATATGGCAACTTTGGCAATGCGTATCACGCCCTTGGTGATTTTAAACAAGCAATCAAATTCCATCAGTATGGTCTTAACATCGCTGAAGAGATTGACAACAAGGATTTACAAGGGACCATATATTGCAGTCTAGGTAATGCCTATAGGTGTAGATGTGATTTTAAAAAAGCAATCGAATTCTATCAGCTGAGTCTTAATATTGCCAAAGAGATTGGAAACGAGGATTTGGAAGGGACTGTATATGATAACCTTGGCAATGCATACCGTTTTCTTGATGATTACAAAAAGGCAGTCGAATTTCATCAGCAAGGTCTTATTATAGCAACAAAGACTGGAAACAAAGATTCGGAAGGAAGCGCTTATGGAAACCTGGGCAATGAGTATAGCTGTCTCGGAGACTTCAAAAAAGCAATCGAGTTCCATAGACAGAGCCTTAGAATTGCGAAAGAGATTGGAAACAAAGAGTTACAAGGAAATGCATATAACAACCTTGGCAAGGAATATTGCTCTCTCGGTGATCTGGAAAAAGCAATCGAATTCCTTCAACGGAGTCTTGATATCGCAAAAGAGATTGGCGACAAAGATTCAGAGGGAAGAGCATATAGCAACCTTGGCGATGCGTATCGTGCTCTCGGTGATTTCAGTGGAGCAATCGAATCCCATCAGCAGGGTCTTAGTATCGCAAAAGAAATTGCAAACGAAGATTCAAAAGGAAGTTTATATGCCAAGCTTGGCACTGATTATCATTCTTGCGGTGATTATAAAAAGGCAATCGAATTCCATCAGAAAGGTCTTCGTATCGCAAAGAAGACTGGCAACAAAGATTCAGAAGAAGTGGCCAATAGGAGCCTCGGAGTTGCTTGTTATTGCCTCGGCGACTTTGCTAGAGCTGAGAAGTTTTTTAAATCGAGTATTAAGCTGTTTGAGGAAACACGATTCCTTCTCCAAGATAAAGACGAATGGAAAATCAGCTTCCGAAATCAATATAAAGTTTATAGTCTTCTCTGGAGGCAAGGGCAAGGCAAGGCAAGGGCATCCAGGCGCTTTTTGCAGCAGAGCAGGGGCGAGCACAGGCTCTCACTGATCTCATGGAATCACAGTACGGCATAAAATCAAGTCGATCATCATCAAAAAAGCAGATGAAAAGAACATCTAACATTTTAAAACAGATTTCATCACCTACGTTATTTCTTGCGGAAGCTCTCGAGTCAGTGAATTTCTGGGTACTGCTGGACGGGCAGCGGTGGCATTTTGCACGAAAGGAAATCAATTTTACTTTGGGTTGTTTGACTTTGGAGACGTACAAGGAGATTGGTGTCTATAGAAGTGCAATGTGCGAGAATCGCTCTATGGACGAGTCAGCAGATGAGACGATATCTCAAGGGGGTATGGATGTAAGGCCAGTAACACCATCCCAAGGTGAGGCTAATGCTTTGAAAACTCTGTATGACGTAGTTATTTCTCCGGTTTCACACTTAATAAAGGGCGATGGACTTGTAATTGTCCCGGATGGTCCAGCCTTCTTGATACCTTATGCTGCCCTTGTGGACCAAAATTCCAGGTATTTGTCTGAAACGCTACGAATTCGATTGGCTCCTTCGCTAACCAGCTTAAGGCTGCTGGCAGAGTGTTCCTCAGAGCGCCATAGTACGTCTGGTGCACTGCTTGTTGGTAATCCATGGGTGGAAACTGTACGCGTCAAGGGCAAAAAAATAAAGCAGCTCCCGGGTGCCGAAGATGAAGTAAAAATGATCGGACAGATACTACACATCGAGCCTCTCACTGGAAAAAACGCTTCAAAAGATGAAGTGTTAAGCAGACTAAACTCAGTTTCTTTGGTACACATTGCAGCGCATGGTCGTGCAGAAACCGGCGAAATTCTTTTGTCTCCTAATCTTGGCAGTTGCCAAAGACCCAAAGAGAAAGACTTTCTTTTGACGATGGCAGATGTGTTGAATGCGAAATTGAACGCCAAGCTTGTTGTCTTGAGCTGCTGTCACAGTGGGCGAGGGAAGATTCAAGCTGAAGGCGTGGTTGGTATTGCACGTGCCTTTTTAGGTGCCGGTGCACGTTCTGTTATTGCGTCACTGTGGGCGATTAACGACGCAGCCACTTTAGAGTTTATGAGACACTTTTACGAAAGTTTGATGACAGGGCAAAGTGCAAGTAACTCACTTCATCAGGCCATGAAATGGATGCGGGAATCTGAAAAGTTTTGTGCGGTGAAGGACTGGGCTTCATTCGTGCTGATTGGAGATGACGTGTCTTTAAATTTTGACGAATGATGGAAAGATTTTCATCCTAACCCAAGTTAAAAAAATATTTTGTTTCTAAAGGGATCTAAGCAGTGCAATTTGACAATGTATGAAGCATTCTTAATTTATAGTCACTGATCGTAAACTAGAGGGAAATCCAAAATCATCGTTTGCGAGTAGCTCAAGGGAAAAATTTGTAGACATATATATTTTTGTAATTTTCTGCAAACGTGAATGAAGGGTCACTTTCCTTGAGCCAATAGCGCTCGCGTGTGCTGAAACAGCGCTCGCGCATGCTTTCAGAACAAAGAGATTTAGAGTTAGGGTTACGGCAAACGGCAAGTTGAGAATATGTCAAAATAGAAAAGAAGCTAATGAAAACAGTCCAAGACAATTCTTTTAGATTATAATAATGTGAAACTAATCATTTTTTGTATAACTACAGACAGTGAAACACAAGTGAATGGAAAGCTTCGTCACGTGGTACACGTTTGCCGTTTGCCGTAAACTGCTAGGTGGGCCACCCCTCTGGCCGAGCCAACTTTTTGTTTCTCCTGTAAATGGTTCCGGTCTCCTGTAAATGGTTCCGGTCCACGTGTTTGTAAGGAAATGTATGAACGGTTGGCTCGCCTAGTATAGCTCGGGTAAGCGAGTGTCCTTTCTACCTGGGACAGGCTCTCACCTTCTCTCTTCCCGCCGTTTTTTGCTCGATTGCTATTTCGCTGCTCGCCCGCGTTTTTCGCTCGTCTGCTTTGATCGAGAGCCTGGAACAGGCTACTTTCGTTATTTATGTACACATAGAATGAATGAGGACATCTGATGACATATCGGAAAAAACCAATATAGAAGTGTTAAAATATACAAGGTCTATTTTAGACAATCAAATTGATTTATTGATTGACAGGTTTCCAATTGGGCCGGGGAAAATCACAAGTTTAATATAACTGGTGACAAATGTAATTAAGTCCTAAAGCGGCGGAAGATTTGATCAAAGCTCTCAAATGTTATAAGGGTTGACCACAAATGTAATAACTTGTAATTAAAGTCACATTCGAAAACATAAGTGAAAGAGATTTTACCAGGATCGTTATGAGCGATTTCCCGAAATCGCTTGTGCATGTATATAACGTCTAGTTTTCCTTTCAATAAGCTCCGAAAACGCAACGAGTTTTGTCCTACCGCGTGGCACGAAATTTTGGCGGGAATTTATTTTTTGCGGATTGGCGAGTTTTTGTGTTTTGTGGGAACTAATTTTTACGATTAGGACTCTGGTTCTTCTTCCTGGAAATAAATTTTTGCAATTTTCAGAAAGTCCCGTACAAATTATTGATAATACTCTCGTTTTTTTTTTGAGTACGTCCAATGGAAATACCGTAGAGCCGCGGTAACTCTGAAGGAAAACGGAAAAGAGTTCGAGTTATCGGGGTCAATTGAAAATTTCAATTTGCCATGTTAAAAATTTATGGTTACTGATTTCTCAGGACTTCAGTGTATGGTGCGGTGCAAATTTACTTATTTCATCAGAAACGGTAAAATGGGTAGGCATTTATATGATAAAACGTGATCTGTTCGTTTTACTTTTAGTGTTTTACGCTTATACAACCAGAAGAGCAGATAGGATGGGATCCGAGTGGAGTTGTAAGAACCAGAATTCGAGTTATCGGGTTGAATTTCAGTGACTTTTTGATCAAAGGAAAGAAATTTCAGTTCGAGTTAGCGGGGAATTTGAGTTATCCGAGTTAGAGTTTACCAAGTAGAAATGACTGGAAAAGCTCTAATGAAGAAGTCATCGTAGTACCTCGTAGTTCTAGTTGCACTAATCTGACGATAAAAATCAAAACTTTCGGCGAAGCATGGGTCTTACCTTAATAAGTGCTTTCATGACTGAAGCATAAAGCAAACCCAAACAAAGCAGCAATAATTCTTCGGTTCACCAAGTGCATTTGAGTGATTTCGAACAAAAATACACTTATTAAAGGAATGACACTGTTACCCCCGATAATTCGATAACCACTGTTTTGACAGACGTCTCTGGAAGAAAATAAAGGCAAATCGCTGATTTGTACAACGTATTTCACGAATATTCGTCTCCACAGTCGCTTCCTGCGAGATGTTCACTCCACGCTATCTTGACACAAACGATCAGATTTTGAACACCGCCCATGATGCTTAGCGATCCCAGTACGCACACCGCCTGGGAATTAACTAACGACGAATCTCTGATAGCGGAAGGGCAGCTAACATGCGGGTGATTATACGCTTTATAAATAGCAATGTGACATCCTAAAACAAGTCAAACCTCTATAAAGCGGTCACCCCCGGGAATTAGCAAGGTGACTGCTTAATGGAGGTTGACCGCTTAATAGAGGTTTTCTAAAAGTAGGCCCTAAATGTGGCAGAAATTGGCCCAGAGGGCAAATTTATCACTCTATTACAATTTAGTGTTCACAACACCAGGAACGTAAAATATGACAAAAGTATTGGGATGTTATGAGGAGTCCACGACTAATGTGAACTCCTCAGTGTTACAGAAACGTCGTTCTTTAGATCTGCTAAAAACCCTTCCATTTGAAAAATTTATTTCTCATATAGTAAAGAATTTTCCGAAATAAAAATTGCACAAGTGTATCAAGCGAGACCTGAGCTTTCAGAAAATTGATATCCGAGGTGTCAATTTTCACACCCAAGGTGTGATTTCCGATTTTTATCGCAGGCTCAAAAAATCAAGAACTGCATTTTTCTGGCTTTCCCTCGATAACTAGGAATAAAAAATAAATTGGAACTCACTTACACTTACGTTGTTAATTTACCTTTAAATCCCAGCATTGTTCGTCAATTGTTTATTGAGATATAGAGGCGGATTTTTTTTTGCAGTGCCAAAAATTCCAAAATGTTCCCTTATTGCCGGGAATTTAAGACGTTTTTCCTTAACATACTTTCCACGCGACCTGATCGAGCATTGCATCTCTTATTTCTTTGGTATTGTCGAGTTGAGTGTCGGCCTTGATGGTGTCAATGTATGTAGTTCGTGGTCTACCTCGATTTGGGTGACCATGTTGGGGCTCCCAAAGCAGCACTTTCGAAGCAGTCTCTTCATCGTGACAAGTACAATGGCCAGCTAATCGTAATCTTTTAGCGCGAATTGTTTCACTAAGTCTTGGGAGGCTTCCGTATAGTTCCTGGTTGTTTATATGTTGTTACCAGTGCACATAGACAGGGCCGTTTGCAGCATTCTGGTGTAGCATCCATTGACACTTTTCTTCAGCTTCATGGTTAGGGTCCACGTTTCACTTCCATAAAGTAAGACAGACTTCACAGTTGCTGTAAACAGTCTGGTCTTTGTTGCTCATGACAGCTTTGAGGTCCACACTTTTCTCATTTTGTTGTAAGCTATCCATGCTGAAGCCTTTCCGTCCTTGAAGTCATGTTCTGACTCAATGATCCATGAACCCAGATACTTGAAGTTCTCAACAGGTTCAATTACTTCGTCGTCTCGTGTTTTGAGCCCAGCATCAACATGATGGTTGCAGCACACGTATTTTGTCGTCTAGAAGCACAACCTTGCCCGACGCTTATTCAACATTTCTGAGTAGCTCTTGCGCTTGTTGAAAGTGATGACTAAAAAGAGCAATGCGGTCTGCAAAGTTTAGATCAGTGACCTTTTCGGCTTTAACATTGCGCCGTTGTCTGGGCTTGATTGTTAGTCCAAGACACTCCTCACGGCCCTCAATAGCCATTCGCAGTTTATAGTCCAGAACTATTACGAACAAGTAAGGTTCGTAAGAGGCTTGTTTGCAAATTGCAGGAAAATTTCATCCAAATCACAGTATTTTAGAGGCTCCGGTGGAATTCCGTCTAGGCCAGCTGCCTTGCCTGTTTTAGTGTTCTTCCTCGCAGCTTTGTACCCGTCCTTGCTGAACGGGCTGTCATCTGTAGGTAGGTTTTGAAATATCTGCTTTACGTTGTCATCTTCACTATCTGCCGATAATTCTCCACCGAGTAAGTTGCTAAAATGATCATATATACCTGCTGCCCAGTCTTTCCTTTACATTCTTACATTATAACTTGGCTGTCCTAGCGTTCTTGCGTCCAGACACTTCGTTTGCGAGTTTCCAACTTGCTTTGTGATCATGTTTGTTGTCATTGGATACGATTTCGTCAATGACTTCGTTAAGATCTTTGTCAGCTATATCAACATTTACTTTTTCAAGCATTTCTTTGCTAGCTTTAAGTTTCTCGCCTCGGTTTTCGTCTGGATTCTGTTGGTAGTGTTCACACTTTTTTTGCAGATCTTTCCTGGCCTCCATAACTCAAGGGTCATCTGATACTTTTGCTTTCTTTTTCTCGCTCATCTTGGGAATGTAATTCCTTGCGGTTGTTGGCGTCCATGCAGAGATGTGATATTGGTAGAGTTCTGAGGTGTATTCAGTTCATTGTTGGAGGGCACTAAATCTGTTTTTAACCTCAATAGCGTACATTTGTTGAGGGTCCTCCGGCTGCAAGGCCGACTAATCCCACCTTTCATTTCTTGGTGTTCGTGCTACATGTTCGTAGGCCGAGGTTGATACGAGCAGTTAGGACATCGGTGGTCACAGGGGCACCCATCGACTGTTTTCTGTAAAATATCTGTTCGGGGAAGGGAAAATTGCCTAGAATTTTCTATAGCTTGAGGAAGGCTAAAAATTTCTAGATGACTTTGCCATTCGTGTACAATTTTCGAACCTTATCTTCCCTAAATTCCCTACGATTTTCTTAAGTTTAATTTTTTTCGTAGATAAAGGAATCCTAAAATTTTCGGATTTGAAAATGTGATGGAGAGAGGAATGAGAACAATTCTTACTTTCGTAAAACGTTAAATTGCATCTAAAATTTTCGGGAAAATAGTACTGAAGCCCTAGCAATTTCGAAAAGACTCAAGTTGCCCTAGGATGACCGAACAGATACAAATCTTATAGCGCTGCTTAAAATGCATTTCTAGCGATCTAAAAGTTCTCTGGATACCCTAAAAAGTGTTTTCAATGCATTTAGGA